TTGATAAAAGCTTTTTTACTGCCTGCATTGCATCGCATTGCATGAATATATGTGTTATACTGGGGATTGAATCCAGAACATTCTATCACTGAGCTACATCCTCAGCCACTTATTTATTTATTATCTATTCTTTTGGAGACTCACCATATATAGGCTTTGAACTCACTATGTACCCCAGGCTGGCCTCTTTGCTGTCTCAGCCTCCTGAATGCTGGGATTAGGCATGTACCACCATGCCCTGTAGCCCTTTTAGTTTATAGATTAGAGACAAGGTTTCACTAGGTTGTCCAGCGAGGCCCCAAACATGTGATCCTCCTGCCTCAGCCTCCCAAGTAGCCAAGACTACAGGCTTTTATCACCAAGCCTGGCTAGCGCCATGATTTTAAATATAATGTGCTATTTTTTAATGCTTTTATTTTAATGTTATTTATACTTTAGAATAATACATAGTTCTGGATCCATTTCATTGCACAAATGGCCAAACTACTATTAAATATATATTGAGCCATAAATAAAATCTGACTTTTACTCCTTTCATTAGCTACTCAACTGAGATGACCTCACTCAACTTCTCCTTCATTTCTTCTGACTATAAAACTAGAACTTTCATGTAGTCAGTTTCCAACTCTTAATAGCTTCATGTTGTATAATATGAAGTTTAGTTCAAAGAACAAACTGAATTGGTATACCTTTCCTTAGACATATAATCTGAAGAATAAAAAAAAATCACAGTTCAATTTTTCTAGGAACCCAGATTTGGATTATAACCACACAGAACCCTACAGATTGAAATGAACCCAGATTTCACACATACCTTCCAGACCAGGCCCAAGTGTCTAAGTTTAGATAGTGCAAGTCACTCATCCGTGTTTGCTAAAATAAAAATGCATCAAGTTAGACCATGGTTAATGCCTTTTCCAGGCTACAGTGTTAGTTTAAAATAAGTTCAGGTTAAAATAAACTCTTCTCCTTAATGTTAGACCCCTAAATACTGGGAAGCCCTTCTGAGCATTAATACCATGAACATGGAGCTCCCAAATTAATGTGTCAAAGGAAAAAGGAAGAAATGGGTTTAAACTACTAGAGTTCAGATGATAAGAAATTAAGCTTTTCTGATACTGCATTAAAGTGAAGGATACTCTCATTAAAATATGGTTTACAATGATCTGTGACAGTGTTTGTGTATGGCCTGTTTTGGAAATAGAAAATAAATAGGGCCAGGGAGATGGCTCAGTGGAATAAGTGCTTCACTGGCAAGCGCAAAGGCCTGAGTTCAATCCCTGGTTCCGCAAAATAAATAAATAAATAAATAAAAGTTAATATTAAATGATATTTTAATATCTAGAGGGTTTATGTTTTTGTTTTGTTTTGCTTTTTAAGAAAAGGTCTTGCTGTATAGTCCAGGCTGCTTTGAATTCACAAGGTAGCTCCAGTTGGCCTCAAACTTGCAGTAATTCTCCTGCCTCAGCCTTCTAAGTGCTATATCTAGTGTGTGTGTGTGTGTGTGTGTGTGTGTGTGTGTGTGTGTGTTTTAATTTGGCAGAACCGGGGATTCTGCCAAAATTCAGGCCCTTGCACTTGCCAGGGACGCGCCTATTCGACTGAACCATCTCCCCAGCCCCTTTCTAGCGTTTTTAATGTTCAGTTGTTCTATAAAATCAGAGGTTACATTTTTATAACACACATCAAACATAACAATACCATTTCCATTAACAGTACTAACCAGAACACGTCCCCCAAAGACGTAACCTTTATTTCCAATAACTGCACATGAATGCGCAGCACGCGGCTGTGGTGGAGCTCCACCCTGCAAGCAGAGATCAAAACACAGTGGGAGGCATGAAACACCCTTAAGACCACATTCCTACTCCGGATGAGAAACTTCAGCACTGAGTTGCTGATGTAATTCAATTAAAGTGCCTCATGCAAAAGTTCATATTAAAAACAATTATAGAAAAATAGGGCCTGGGAAATAGCTCAACAGCATATGTGCCTGCTCGGCAACTGCAAGGTTCTGAGTTCAATCCCCAATACCAAAAAAAAAGAAAAATATTACTCTGTAAGAATAAAATTATTCTTTCTTCACTTCTTAAAGCATTTCTCTCTCCCTTTGGTGCTGAGGGTGAACTCAAGAGAATTGTGCACAATGGCAATAGATCTACTACTGAGCTACATCCCATCCATTTTTAAATTTCTTACACTACACTGTCCATGCTTGCCTCAAACCTATGATCCTCCTGCCTCCTGAACTTCTGGGATTGCAAGTGTGCTGTGACGCCACACTGTCTTCTAAGGCATTTTTCTTAAATTCCCAATACTATTTAACAAAATTCCATGCAAATTTTAGCTTGGAATATAAGTGATTTAAAAATCAAATTTAGGGCCAGCCAAATAGCTCAGTGGATTAAAGCACCTGCTCAGGAAGACGCAGTAGAGGGGGTTTGATCCCTGGCATACCGTGCTGGTCCTGCACCCGGGGCACGCTGAGAATTGAGACTGGGAGTGATGGTGCGCGCCTGTAATCCCAGCACTTGGGAGGCTGAAAACAAGAGAATCACTAGGAGTCTGATCTACGTAGTGAGACCCTGAGGATCCTGCCTTAAATAAAGAGAGAGAGAGAGAGAGAGAGAGAGAGAGAGAGAGAGAGAGAGAAATTTTTGGGAAGAGAATACAACAAGTAGGTGAATGAATAAGAACTGAAGAAGTGGCTGGGTAGGGGCTAAGGAGATAGCTCAATGGCATAAGCACCCCTGCCTGGCAAGTGAAGGTCTCAATTCCATCTCCGGTACCACACACACACACACACACACACACACACACACACACAAAGTCTTTTTTCTCTTAATTTCTTTTCTTTTTGTCTTTTGTCTTTTTTCTTTTTTGCTTTTTTTTTTCAGAACAGAGGATTGAACTCAGGCCCTTGCACTTGCCAGGCAAATACTTATTCTACTGAGCTATCTCCCCGGTCCCTTTTTCTCTTAATTTCTTACATGTTTCTTTCTTTTTTTCTTTCTTCTTGCATGCATATATCTGGTAATATGAATAACTAATCTGAAGACAACACTGTACTATAACAAATACTGTGAAATTCATACTATTTTGTTTATAGTGGTCCCTCATGTATCGTGGAGGTTACATTCCAGGCACCCCTGCAGTAAGTGAAAATCAGCAAAGTAGTGACATTATATTTATTTTATATTTATATATATTTTAAGGCTTTGTAAATCTTTCCCACACTCTTATAAGCCTTTCCCACATTTCAAAACACTTCTAATGTTCTTAACCATTCTCTAAACTTGTAAACCTACGTAATTTTAACAACATACGTATTCTATACAGTATTGCAAAATCCCGCGATATAGTGAAAAATTCACGATAAATAATTTAGATTAATACTGTTTGAAAACCTGAGAAACAGTGAGTCCATGAAAGTCAAACCACAAAATAGCAAGGGAGTAAGAAGATGCTTAGCAAA